CTTTGGGTGGTCTGTAGAAAAATTATTTGCATTTTTTAATATTGCACTAAATCAGGGGTCCTCAAGCTACGGCCCGTGGGCCGGATACATGCAATGAACGTTTGTGTTGCTGCAGAGTCTCCCCCTTCGGGGTCTTTTTGTGTGGGTCGGAGGGGGAAGACATTCTGACTTGGGGTCTGCTTCAGCCTCCTGGTGGGGGGCTTTGGGCGAAGGCTGGAGGGAAATGCCACTGTTGGTGAAGAGCCGGGGGGCCTTGTTCCAGTGGGACTGCATCATGGCCTGGAACTGGCTGACCATCTCAGCCCGCTGAGCCTCCAGGCGCCTCTACCTGGCCTTGCACTCCCGCAGGTCTTCCCTCTGCTTGGAAAACCAATGCTCATAGTCCTCAGTGAGGTGCTTCTGCTGAGCCTCCTTCTCGGTCAGATCCAATTTGAGCTGAGCCAGATGTTTTGCCAAGTCTTTCCCATGGTGGCTGCTTAGCTCCAGTAACTGCTTCCTGTTGGGGCCCTAAGGAGCCCGGATTGGCAGGGGAGGAGTGGCTGGGAGGGGAGGGGCGAGTAGAGGCCGGTGAGGCACTCCTCGATGTGAGTGACATCGAGTTGGCCACGCTCACCCAGTCACATGACCAACTGGCCACGCCCACCCAGCTGGTCATTAGGCAGATCGTATGAGTGGTCCGCGGGATTTAAAATTATGGATGTAGTGGTCCCTGAGGTCCGAAAGCTTGGTGGCCCCTAGTCTAGACCAATGCTTCTCAGCTATTGTATCTTCTGCTCCACCCAAAGAATTGGTGTTCCACCAGAATAGAAACCTTTCCTAAGAAGGACAAGATATAGGAGATGTTTAACCATGCTCTTCGTGGTTGATGTTACAGAAAGACCCCTTGTCATAAGCGCAAAAGCCAAAACAAAGGAGAAGCTGGAGGTCTTGATCCAAGTATTTTCTAGGGTCTGCGGGATTTTTACGTCAAGTTAGCCTGATCATGAAGGAGGTGAAAGCTGAGGTTCTGCCCTTGGGATGGAGAAAAGCTTGGCCAGTTGAGAAGTCCATCTCGATAAGCATCATTTGTTCTGCCTGGAACTGGATCCTGTTTTTGGCCTCTTAACTGAGTAGGAATAAAAAGGTTCATGGTGATTAAGAACACCATGGGAAACTCCAGAGAAGAACCATTGGTGGTGGCTCACCAAAGCCCATCTGATGTACACCAGAGGTTGCTCCTGAGCCATGAGACATCAGGAGATGACAATGCCACCTTCCTTGACTGCCACTAAGATCAGATTGAGAAAGAGTAGGAGTAGGAGAAAGGGAAGGGAAGAAGGAAGGGGAAGGAGAGGAGGAAGGAAGGAAGTAGAGAAGGGAGGGAGAGAGAAAAGAAAGGGAAAACAAGATGGTGTTACAAAAGGAGGAAGGGAAGGTAAATAAAGCAACCCAAACTGTATATTATAACCTAGTAAATGAAATAATAAATATATAAGAATGATAAATGTAAACAATTATGTGAATGTATGCTTAAAATGGTATGTAAGAGAACAAAAAATTAAAAAAATTCTGATTAAAAAAAAAGATCAGATTGATTAAGGCAGAATATCTGGGCTGACTTTATGATATTTCAAAAGGGTTTACTTTTGTTGATGTATCGTTTGAAAGTTGACACCCCATCCGTTTAATTTACCGTATTTTCCCGATTATAAGATGCACCGGAGTATAAGACGCACCAAGATTTTGAAGAGGTAAATTAAAAAAAAAAAGATTTTGCCCTCCCCCAGGAGCACTCTTCAGGCCTCCCAACCCTTTACACACCCCATTTTTTGTGAAAAGGGGGCATGCAGAGAGTCTGAAAGGCCTGAAAAGTGCTCCTGGGGGCCGGGGAGGGTAAAAATGTGACGCGTGGGGGTTTGGGAGGTGAAAAATGGGCCCATTTTTTGCAAAGATGTTGGATAACCATTTGTGCAGAGAGTTTGGAAGGCCTGCAGAGTGCTCTTGGGGGCTGGGGAGGGAAAAACACCCCAATTTTTGTGAAAAACAGCCCCATGTTTTACTTGCTTTTGCCCTCCCCAGCCCCCTTTGCAAGCCTCCCAAACCCTCTGCACGTCCATTTTTTTGCAAAAAACGGGATGCGCGGGGCGGGGTTTAGGGAGGCAAAAAAATGCTGTATTCAGTGTATGAGATACACCCAAATTTTCCCTCTGTTTTTTTTGGGGGGGGGAGGTGCGTTTTATAGTCCAAAAAAATACGGTAAGTCAGATCTCCCCCTGCCTCATAAATTCCTGTAATTACAGGCAGGAGGCTGAAGCAGAATTTAGTCAGTGGACCCAAGGAAGGGTGACTTCAAAAGAAACACCCACATTTCAGACTGTTTTTAATTCTTCCTTCTCTTCTTTAGGACGGGAAGGTGATTGTTTGGGATGGCTTCACCACCAATAAGGTGAGTCGCTTAAGAACATCTATCCCCACAAGATTGCTCCCTGTCTGAAGGATCTGTTGGATGGGGGAGAAGGGTAGAGAAAGTGCCTCCCATTTTGTCTTTCATTTGCATTGCTGGGTAAGGATGGAGACCCCCAAATTCTGGTTGGCCTTGATGATATGCAGCACCAAATTTATGTGTTGTGGGAATTGGCTACCTTTTGCTCTTCGGGCTTCTCCATGAACTTTTCAGAGCAGAGCTCCTTGTCCGGTGGCAAGGCTAGGTCAAATGTTGGCTTGAGAGATGCAAAGGAATGCCTTGTATTTCAGGAGCATGCAGTGACGATGCCCTGCACTTGGGTGATGGCATGTGCCTATGCTCCGTCTGGATGCGCCATTGCATGTGGGTAAGCAGAAGCCTCTTTAACGAAAGGTATTTGAAAACCGGTGTTTTGATCGTGACGGACGATGCGGCTTCTTCTCTTAAACCCGATGGGTTCCCAAATGGATATTTTTTCTTTTTTTTAATATTGGCTGGATTTTAATCTCGGTGGAAAGAGAAATGGTTTGGCTGCATGTATAAATTAAGGCATATTGATATTTTTTTTATCTTGCCCCTATCGCCAGACTCTGGGCACTATCTGAAAACATCAAAATAACACACACAGACAAACACACACAGAGAGAGACAGAGACAGAGAGACAGAGACAGAGAGACAGAGACAGAGAGAC